TGGGCAGCGGCCGCGGCCCCCGCCTCGCGCAGGTGACCCGGCTCGCGCGCCGCCCGCCGCTCCAACTCCCGGGCCCGCGGCCGGCCCGCGGCGCGGCGCCCGCCGGCTTTTTGTATGTGCTCCGGGGGTCTGGGGCGGCCGCGGCGCCAGGCGGGCGGGCGAGCGAGCGAGCAGGCGCCTCCGCTTACCATTTGCGCACTTTCTCGATAGCCGCCATGACCCTCTTGATATCATCTTTGGCGCGGCTCCTGGTCTCGGCTCGAACCGACCTGCCCGACATGGTTCTGGCGGGGAGAGAGAGGCTGGGGGAGCGCGCCCGCCGGGTCCTGCTCGCGCTCCGCGGCGGCCACACTCGCGCCCGCCCGCCCGCTCACTCACTCACACACTCACACACACACTCTCTCACACACTCACACACACTCACACACATACACACAAAGCCGGAGCCGCCGCGCGCCCGGGGCCCAGTGCGCAAGCGCCGGGCGCCAGCTGCACCGAGCAGGGGGAGCTGCGCCGCCGCGGCCGCCAGCAGTGCGGCCTCCGGGCGCCGCCGGCCAGCGCCGCGGGCCTCCCCCGCCCGCCCAGCGAGGCGCCCGCGACCCCCCGCTCCCCGGGGGGTTGGGGGGACGGCCGGCGACTCCCGGCGCGCGGGTGGGGGTGGGGGGCGGCGGGGCGCGGGGACACTCACTCGGAGGCCGCAGGTGGCGCGGGGTCCCCCGGGGAGGGGGCGCCGGCGGGGCGGCCGGCCGGCCGGCCGTGGAGGGGGCGCATTCCTCGGGAGCCAGCTCGGCTGCTGGTCCGCTGCCCCGAATGTGTGGCAGCGGGTGCAATAATGCAAGTTTCCTGTGGGGCTCCCGACTTCTCGGAGTTGAAGGCGGCGATTCGGGATGCGAGGTGCTCTTGGAAAGAGTTAGGAAGCACGGATCTCTGCTGGCCCTCTGCCCTGTGCAAACACGCGAGCTAGGACGTCGCGAGCTAGGACGTCGCTTGCCTTTCCCTCGTCCTTTTGGAAAACTAGAATCGGAGGAAAGGGGCCAGGGGCGAGGCGACCACGAGACATTCGACCTTGCCTATTAAATAGCTGTCTGCGAAGGAACAGCTCAAGGATTATCAGCATTTCAACTGGGGCTCTTCCTTTCCCTCTGGGGTTGCTATCAGAAAAGCCCGATTTAAACTGCAGCTACTCCTGCCCGGAAGTCCCAGGTTCAGACCAGGTGCTGCTACCCCACAGATGGCCCTAGCAGGTGAAATGGGCTGGGTGGCCTACAAGGAGAACTTTTGACGTGGTTCTTCCCCATCGTGCCTCAGGACAGCTCTGTGGAAGACTCTGCAATTATCAGGATAACCCAGGTGGCCACGTCTTTGTGTTCAGCTGCCACTACACCGACTTGACCAGCGCTTCTTCCTGCCCAGATGGTGGCTAGGGGCAAGTGAGAGTGACCCTGTTAGCAAACTTGGTGTCTTGGAGATAAACTAGTCCAACACCACAGTCTTTTTCTGGGGCCAAATTGAATTGCAGGGAAGCTCAAGGTCACAGCCTTAAGCTAGACCCCAGACTCCCACTCATTCTGGAACCAAGCAGTTTTCCCTGAAATTTTGGTTTTGGGGAGAAAAGCTACTGGAGAAATGGGATGCCTGATACAAAAAATAAGATAGTACCTCAGCGAGTCATTCTGAACATCATATAGGAAAATAATGTCACAGCAGGTTATAAAACAGAGGACTCTACTGTTGGTCCTCTAATGGCTTAGGACTACAAAGAACTTCTGAATATATGGGGTGCCTGGATGGCTCAGTTGGTTGAGCATCTGCCTTCGGCTGGGTCATGATACCAGGGTCCTGGGATCCAGTCCAGCATTGGGCCCCCTGCTCCACGGGGAGCCTGCTTCTCCCTCTGCCTTTGCCTCTCTCTGTGTCTCTCATGAATGAGTAAATAAAATTTTTTAAAAATCTGAATATATATATATATATACATATACGTATATATACATATACGTATATGTATATATATATATACACACATATATGTATATGTATATATATCTCTCTGAAAAAAAAATAGGAAGATATTTGGGACACCAGATTGGTTCCCTTTGAGGAGCATGCTACTCTTGATCTCCAGGTAGTGAGTTCAAGTCTCTATATTGGGTTGATTACTTAAATAATACAACCATAAAAAAAAAAAATAGGAAGATATAAAAAATTCAAATATCAACTCACGAATGGATAAATGTATATATCCACACAATAGAATGTTATTCAGGTGTTAAGAAGGAATGAAGTACTGTTACATGCCACAACATGGGTGAACTTTGACAACACGCTAAGTAAAACACAAAACAAGCCAGTCACAAAAGGACAAATATTGTATGATTCCACCTACGCGAGCTATCTAGACTGGGCACATTCATAGAGACAAAGTAGATTGGTGGTTGCCAGGGCCTGGGGGTGGGGGTGGGGAATAGAGAGTGACTTCCAAGGGGTATGGGGTTTCTTTTTGGGGTAGTGAGAAAGTTCTGGAACTATATAATGGTGATTGCCATACAACATTGGGAATGTACATAATGCCACTGAATTGTACACTTTAAAATGGTTACAGTGGTCAGTTTTATGTGTATTTTACCATAAGGAGAAGAAAGCCCAATGTCCAGCTTCTCCAGAAAGAGCAGAAGATCTGCAGACTGGCCCCCCAGTGCCACATGGTAACAATCAGCTGGAGGTGAGGAGCCCAGTGCCTGTCACACGAAGCTTTCCAGGTCACCAGTGTATCACCAGGTCACTTAACTCATCTGCACTACCAGATGGCCCCTGAAGGTATTTGTGTTCATGATCTCTGATTAAACTATAAAGCTCTCTACAAATGTTCTAAATCTAGCCGGTCACTTTTTATAGTTCCCTGTCCCCTGCAGATATTTTTAACCTTTCAACAAAGCACGGCTGTCTTACAGTCTGTGTCTGATAATTCTAATATTTGAAGTATTGGAGGGTCAGTTTCTCCTAGTTTTTGCTCATGGTGTCCTATTTCCTTGTGATCTGCCTGGTTCTCTTTGGCCAGGCTGGACACTGTATTTTTAAATTGATTTATAGGGATAATTTGAGGCCTAGGATGAAGTTACCTTCCTCCAGAGATGACTTACATTTGCTTCTGCCAGGCTTCTGAGGACCCTGCTCTTCCAGGACTACCTATATCCAAGTTCGGGGCTTATGGGTCCCTGGACCACCCAAGTGATGCAAATACAGGCTGCCTTGCTGAGCTAGTCTGGTTTCCTTATTGTAGCCTCCAGAGGCACGGGAGGGGGGTAATCAGTGATGTGAGCAGCTGGCTGACAGGTCTGCACTTCCCAAGAGTGACCCCATGTTGATGATTTGAAATCAACTGTAGCAGGAGTGTTTACACTATGGAAATTGGCAAAGGCTATACATCAGGATCCTCTTCCCAACCCCACCCAGAGCTGACCGGCAAAACTCTACCAGCACACCAATAGGGTCTCCCAAATTACTGTGGGGCAAGTCTCATCTCCCACCTGGACTTTTATTTCTGGCCTCTTGCCTCAAAAACCATTCACGCTAGAGTTCAAATATTCTAGACTTGACAGCTATCTGCCAGGTTAAGATGGCTTCTTTGCTGGATTATCTTTCAGGGTTCATCTTTTTCCTTTGATTTCAGGTGTTCATTCTTATTTTGTCAGCATGTGGTGGCTTTTAGAATGTTTTCAGATACTTTTTCTACCATTTTAAGTTGCTTTTAGCTTGAGAGTTCGTCTGGATCCCTGGTTACCAGAAACTGGGAAGTTGGGCTCTCTCTGAATGTTAGTTATTGTTCCAGATGTTAAAAGAGAGATCATAGGGTTACAGAAGTGGGTTATTTAGTTATGGCTTGTGTCTTAAGCTCTTTGTGCCTCATCTGTAAAATGGGAAAATAGAAAGAACACCTGCCTTACGGAGCTATCATGAGAATGAAACACAGTATTTATCAAGGACTGAGAACAGAGCTTGGCACATCCTAAGTGCTAGAGACCCAGAAGTATTTGTTGAATAAAGGACCTGGGGATCCTTCATCATTATGAACCGCACAGGGTCAACTACCTCTCTTTCCTGGGCTGTTAAATTCAACCCTTAATCCACTGTGAATGGGGAAGGGGTTGGTGAGGAGGTTTCCAACTCTGGAGTGTGATACGTAATTGTGTGGAAGCTCGGGCCCGGCTCCTGCTTCTAGGCAGCCTTGGTCCTCACCTAGCAATTTACAGCGGCAAGTTGTTTTCATAAACAGTGGTGCTTTGGTGTTTGGGGAGCAGGCCATTAGCAGAGGAAGAGTACTGAAGAGAATGTTCCCTCTCCCCTCTCGGAGACAAGAGCCAAAGGGTATGTTGCAGGGTGTGAAACCCCACTCTTGTTTCGGAAAAGGACACTAAAACTCAGAAGTCACGCAGCCAGTTAGCAGAGTTCTGGCCAGAACCCTGCTCTCTCCTGCTGTGGTCTCTAGGATTCCTGGCTCCACATCCATCCCGAGGCTGGAAATCAGCATGGCGGGAATGTCGACGCTATGGAAATTGGCAAGTGCTGTCCACCTGGCCCTCCTCCACCCAGAGCTGGTGGGTAAACACTTACAAGCATACCACTGCTGGAGCTTAACGGGATCCTAAACAAAAGTGAGGGACATCTCCCCAGAAATGTGGGCCTTATGATAGACTGGGGAGGTCTTGAAAAAAAAATTTTTTTTGACAAGCCAGATACTGTAATCTGCCGTCCGTATCTTTCTTGCCTAAAACTACAACTATAAAAATGGTCGCCAGCTCAAATTCCAGTATATGGGCAATTTGCCTATCCATAACATGCAACCATTGGCTTGCCCAGAAATTGGGCCATTGGAGGTTATTTAAAAATAAAGAGATAGTGGACATGAAGTGCTTTGAAATACTGATGCGTTCAAAGGTGAGTCAGTGTAATTCAGATGCTTTTCTAACAATAATGATTAAATACAGGGCGTCTGCTCAGGACCCAATGACTTGGAGCAAAATCAGAGACTTGTCCACAAACAGGCTTGGTGAGTTCTCTGGTCAGGAACCTAGAAGGCTGCCCAAATGCCTTCTGCCTCCTTCCTGCACACTACCCGGCATCTGGATATCTGTCCCAGTTCTGTGTGAGCCCTTGGGGGTGAAGGCCACCCCCCCACTACAGAAGCTAGCAATGGGGCCTGACTCCCTCTTCTGCCAGGGCGTTAGGTCCTGGGCATGGGTCCCAACCTTAGCCAGATGGCAGATGGTTTAGCCAGTTGGTTTTT